TGTGCTGTGCTGTGCTGTGCTGTGCTGTGCTGTGCTGTGCTGTGCTGTGCTGTGCTTGTTGTAGTATCACCAGCTCCTCATCATCCCAATCATTTGTATTGGTTGAAGTGATGGTTTGGGCTGGCCACAATGCGCCCCCTCTAGTTCAAATGGTTACTAATAATTATGCAGTATTACGACTACTAGTACTACTAGTACTACTAGTATCAGCATGATTGTTGTTCTTCTTGTTCTTCTTCTTGTTGTTTGCATCCTCCTTGACAACAGGTTGTAATCACTTTTCCTGTTGTTTCAGTTTGATTTAATGCAGATTGATGAAAAGGTTAAATTCAGCAGCTATGTTGCAAAAGTAAACATCTGTCTAGATTTTTGAAATGAACAAGGAGGCTCAACTTTTGTCTACAGGTTAGTACGTGGAATTGAAACCAATACCGGAAATTAGTAAAGAATATAAATTTGAATTTGCGCGTCTGTGAGTACCGACAGCAATGTTCGAATGGTCACGTGTTCGATTCACGTCGGGTGCTACCACCGGCACCTGTAGCTCAGAGGTAGAGCGTTCGATTGCAGATATTTTTGGATTTTTTTTGCGAAGCGCGAAGAGCCATGTCAAATTCAGATTGTTGTGCACGAAGAGCTATGCGATTGTTATCTCCATGGAAAAAGTTCCACGGCAAAGCATAATTCAGTTCAACCACCTCTCAATTGCATCAGCGCGTCCAACTATGGCGTCTACTCGACATCGTGGATAAAAGCATCGATATAAAGATCCGCAAGACTGCATCTAACACAATGATTGCGAATCAACGACAAGAATGTAATTAGTAGATATTAACAAATTAATTGTTTCGAAGTCATTCATTTGATCCTCAAAGTTCTTCTTTGACATCCATTTGGTTGTGATTGCAAATGTAATCCACGACCTTTGGCAACGCATCTTGCAAGCTCTTTGCGGCACTCATCAAGTTCTCCATGAATTCTTCATGGCTCGGTACGCCCCCATCGACAATATCGGTAATGACCTTGACGCCCATGTACGGTAGGTTTTGCATTTTGGCTACCCATGCAATGGCCGCTGCCTCCATGTCCTTGACACTCGCATCGTTTTCCATCATGTACTCGTCGTCCTTGTCGGTCTTGTCAAGGGAGTTTCCCGTCGTGCAGATGCCCGTCTTGTAGCCGAGTTCTTCCGCAATTTTGGTGGGATCAATGGTCGTTTCGAGGGTCCCGATTCCGTACTTGTCAAATCCCGGGATCCCGATGCGCCGGTCATGGTTCGCAACCCCCGTCGTCAAGAAAACGTCACCGATGGCTCCGCCCTTGCGCTTGAATCCACCGCAGGTTCCGCCGTTCAGAATAAGCTGGACCGGGGATCCCTCGGCGGCCATTTTTTCGACGGCTAGAAAGGTGGCCAGGCTGGCGGGGACTGTTCCAACGTTGTCGACCCCGGTATCGTATACGTTGTCCTTTCCCATGGTGATCACGGTCACCTTTGTTTCGCTGTGTGTTCCTGAAAACGCGAGAAACGGCGTGTGGGAAGGGAAAAAGTCTTCGACCTGTGTCAACTCCAGGTGTTCTACAAAGGGAGTGGCTTCTGCCTCCATAACGATGGGAACCAAGACGCTAGAATATTGGCGGCATTGTTTGACAGCACCAGGGGTTGTGGCAACAGCAGCAGCAGCAGCGAGAGAAGAGAAAGATTGCGTTTGTGTCAGGGCGCGTCTGAAAAGTCTGTCGTCGTTGCTGTCAATGCCACCGTCATCATTGTCGTCAATTATGTTCTTGTTTCGGACTGCGTTCTTGATAAATGCATCATCGAATGTTGACAACAGAACGAACTGGGCAAATAAAGGAAACCGAAAGAGCTTCGGCAAGCAACGAACAATCGTGGATTCTGCGTCTAGTCTTCAATTGTGTTTTCCTTACTGTTTGATGGTCATATTTTCCAATGAGAATGAAGAAGAAGCTGAAGCGAGGTTTGCAAGAATAAAGGTAGCTAGGAAGAAGAGAAATTTCATTATTATAGAACGATTCGAAATACTGGTGCAAGAGATGGACTTTCGCGACGCCGATGTTGTATCGTACTAATTTATGGTGTTCTCATGAGGAGGAGGATGCGTATGAAAGCATTGGCCATCGCTCGTATACGATTATTTTTAGAAGTGAAAAGAGACGATGAAATCTTTCCTTTTTACACGATGGGAGTGGTCGATCTGTTATTTTCTACTGTAGTAAACCTAAAACGAGCGGTACTCGTATGTAGCAGGGGTCTAAATTATGACCCCTGTATTTAGTACGTACGTAATCCATACGTATTCTACTGTGCTTACCCTGTACCTGTACGTTACGAACGCAGTCTCAATCGTGATCATGGTATTCTCAACGGATATGATTTGTTCATGATATTCTGGAATCTGGAACCTTGTCGATTCTAGAACTCCAAGGTACGAGTTTAACTTGAGTAAAATTACAGCTAAAATTAACGCCCAGTGGGCCAACCACTACTACTAGTAGTAACTTTGGCAGACCAGTCTAAGCTGCCAGAGCATCCTTAAGCCTCCCAATGACATGGATCTCTAAGTAATTATATCAACTTGGACTGGGCGCTTAGACTGGTGGTCTAGAGTTGTTTTTTGATAGAGTTCTGGCCTATTTTCTAACCAGCACCAGCGGCAGCCAGTCTACTAAGAACAAGAACAGCTGGTCAAATTTGACCATACCAGCTATTAATGAAGAACTGGCTCCCCCCTGGGCTCTAATTGTGTAAGAATAACACACAGCACTTTTCTTAACACTATGACTGAGCATATCCCCAAAGGGGATCTCATTAGAGGCCTTTCCGGAGCTGTTGTGATTAACTTATTTTTAGCTTTTTGAGCTGTTTGTGGTCAGTGACCAAAAACTAACAGATCTATGTAGGATCAGTACTAAAATACTGGGCTTCAAAATTAACCAAAACTAGTAGTAGTAGATCTATGTAGGATCCAGTACTAAATACTGGGCTTCAAAATTAACTGCAATTTCACTAGTACGAAGTAATAATTTTTGGTGTTTGAGTAGAATGCCTTTTTGCCCTGTAGGACATCACCATATGGTTAACACATTTTACTCAAATTGAACTTGTACATAATACAAGTGGCAAATGTAAAATTTCTGATTGATTCGCAAAGTCCCTGGTTCCAACCAATAGTACTTCCTGATCGGAATCCAAAGGTTGTGAATCAATATTCCAAGCTGCCGTCAGTACAAGATAGCTTGCTTGTTGTACGTTCTAATTGGTTCAATAGTACTGATTTAATGTAGAATTTTGCATTTGTTTTCATCTTTTTCCATCTGATTGTTTGCCACCAGGTTCAGATAGAATGGAAATTTCCTCTTGCAATACACTCTGCTTTGAGTTGCTCCATGTTTTGAGCCATGAGCAATTCTCCGTACGAGATTTTTCCTTTCACCCACACTGTGTCATCAACTCCCTTCACCTTTTCACAGGCAGAAGGAACGTGATCTTTGCTCCTGGAAGCAACAATTGATTGAAGCTGTTCTTGGTACCACACATATGATCCCTGCAGGAGTAGTTTGGTAAGCATGTTGAGGGTCTATTGTAGAATACTTTGTATGCATCCTTCCCAATTTTGTTTATTGTCTCAATGATATCTTTGTCTAGCTTGAGGGTGTTTTCAAGGATGTTCTTTGTCAGTCCTGGCCCTCAAGAGATGTCTTCCACGTAGTCTTTACAAAATCTTCTTCCTCCACCTTCTTCTGCTTGAATTTTCCCCTCTTTGTTGCCATCCCTTCAGCGTAATCTGACACAGTGGTGTTCTTGTCACATTTTTCATAAAGATCATCATCTGCAATACAATAAGCTGTGACATTCCTTTCCCCATTCCCTGTTCTCTGGCATAACTTTGCTCTTTTCACAGAGGAGCGTTCAACCCACACTGATGTTGAAGGAACAGCTGAAAAATTTTCCAGGTACCAGAGATGATGATGTGGTTGCATTGCAGGATCATTTTTGTCCCAGATGTCCCTTCCATTTGCAATTGTAGTTCAAACAGATTGTTCCAATACTATCTTATAGTTCTCTGAGGCCTTGACCTCTTCAATCAGCATCCTCTGTATCAGAAACTTGTATCAGTGTCCTCTGTATCAGTGTCCTCTGTATCAGTGTCCTCTGTATCAGTGTCCTCTGTATCAGTGTCCTCTGTATCAGTGTCCTCTGTATCAGTGTTCTCTGTACTATCAGCATCCTCTGTATCAGCAACTCATAGCAGCAGTGCATACTGGAAGCACATAGTACTAAAAAGATTGTACCAGAGTACCATGTGGTGGTACCGGAGTAACCTAAGTGACGAGTACCAAAGTACCACTTTCATTTTATTCTGTTGAGCCTTTTTAAATACCTCATTTTTTCATTTACTTGGGGGTTTGATACGTGCTTGACTCTGCAAAAATTGGATTACTGTAGTAATGTCCATGCGTTTCTTGATCCTACTAGTATGGTACCAGTTTGGGTGCAAAACAAGACTACTGATTTCTAACAGGTTATGATTACATAAAAAACGCCAGTTTTTTGCTGTCTTTGAATGCTTCTGAATGCTAGCCAAAGCACCAATCAGAATTAGAGAATCTGTCAGTTGGAAAGGGTTTTCTCTTGTCTTTTGATACATGTGCATATTGTACTATGTTTCTTGCCAGAGAACCTTTTCCAGCTTGTTGATTTCTCTCTGCACAGAAAAAACTTTCATTAAATCAACCTCAACAAAGCAAAGCTGTCATCGCCTGCTTAGTAGTTCTTCATCAATATCCAACCAATTGTGCTCACAAGGATAGCGTTGTAATCCTTACATTGAGCAGAAGAGGATCCAGAAGTCTCAGATCGATTGACCAAGTGGTTTGGGAGAAAATAGCTGTATTCAACACCAAGCATCGAAATCAACAAAAAATTGCATCAAAAAGAAGCTGCAATGTAACAAGCAAAACACTACCTTCACTTCCATCATCAAGACAACCAGTGCACCGGATTGATTCATTATACCAAGTGGAAGGGGATCTGCAACATCGATTGACCAAGTATTTTGAAAAAAAGCAGTTTTTTGCTGTATTTTTGACCATGAACAACAACAACAACAACAACAACAACAACAACAACAACAACAACAACAACAACAACAACAACAACAACAACAACAACAACAACAAGCCCCAAGACAACCTGGTGCTATACTCCCAGCTGCAGCAACGACAACAGCACTATCTATCTGGTTGGAAACATGTCCTGAATCAGGAGTGGAGTTGGCAATTTGCAACAAAGAACAGGAAGGGAAAAAGCAACAACAACACTGAATAAGTTGGTGCCAGCAGTAGTAATGGAGACAGTTGCAGTTGGATCAGTGAAAACAGGATGTGCAGTCACAGGGTGTGTAAGGAACAACCCTTGTTGTTGAGGCCTCCAGTGTTCTGTGAAAAGAGCAATGTTATTTGCTTGGTTCACTGAAGAAGAGGCAAACAACAAAGCCTTACAAAGACAAGAGTACAAAGGTGTACGGAAAGGATGGTGAAGGGCCATCCTAGTTAGTATCATGAGTGTTCTATGTCCTCAAAGAAAGAACCAGAATTAACAGCTTTGATGTCCTCTAAGGAAGTGGCCATAATCAACTTGGAAGACCTTGCAAACCTATCAGGCCTAAAGGTGGAGGAATCGGAAGCAAAAATATCAGTTCTCACCAATCCAAAACCAGCAACAGTGATCACACCAGCAAAGAGCAAGGATGAAAGTAGTCTGAAGAAGGGAGCCCTTGACCAGTCCTTCTAAAAGAGAGTCCTTCTTCATCCTGGGGTATCCAATACAACCCATGTTACGCAGCCAAAGGATCATAATTTTGGTTATTTCAAAACCCTGTACCAAAATAATCTGGAAAGACTTGCACACCACCAGCAGCACATGAAAAATGATAATCTTCAGCAGCCTGGTGATTATTGTACGCTGTTAGTTTTTGGTAAGCACAATGACTGGAATGAAAACATGGCTTTGAATTTTGCTTTTGATGAGGATTTTTTGATAGACCAATGCAAAGACGTATGGAGAACCATTGGAATTTCACTGTTCACCTGCATATGCCTAGAGGATGAAAAAGTGCAACACCAACTGATCCTTTTGCCAGATAGATTGATTGATTTGACCACAGATCCAAAGACAGCTGAACTGGTTGCACACAAGAAGGAGAGAATCACTGCATCAATTTAAGTTTTGAATGACCCTGGTTTCAATGGTGAAGTTTTTCATAAGTATGCCCCACAGAAGAGTGCACAGTTGGTGCAACAAGTGACAGAACCAAATACCAGGGGGCAACAAAATGCAATTGCAGGCGTTAAATATTCAAGCCAACACTTTATTGCAACTGACAGAGATACACTGAACACAAAGGATTATTTTATTGCAAAGGAAAGAAGCAGACAATTGGATGAAATTAAGCACTTTGAGGCAGCAGTAAAGAAGGCTGCACAAACAGCAGAATCTTTGAACAGCAAAGCTCTTGGTTTGATTGAGAATTTTGCCTCAAAGGGAAAAGATATTAAGATGGAGGAAGATACAAAGTCCCTCCCAGCAGTTTCTACTCTTAAGGTTTTGTGCCAGTGGAAGCAGCAAAAGAAAATCCCTGCCAAGAAAAGACAAGAAGCTGTTAGATATTTGGATAAAGGTGAAAAATGATTCCACTCCCCCCTCCATCAGCTTCTTGGACTGATGCTGATGAGACTTTCCTGCAGAAACTGAAAGAGGATGAGATAACTATCAGGGAGACTGCATATGGAAGGGAGAGGGATAGATTGAAGAACCAAGCACTCCTGTCCTTTATTGCAAGCTTGACTGAAGAAGAGAGAGTTGCTTCCAATATGCCTATTGAGATACTGGAGGGAGCGAAAGATTAGCAGAAGTGTAAGAGCAGCTTCCAGTAGTTACTAGTATATTTTATTTATGTTAAGAGAAATCTGTTCTTGGAATTGATTTCGATTTCAATTTTATTCCATCATGTAAATAACAACAAGTGTCCAGAAATGGATTTCATTTTGCCAATCCGAAATCTCAAAAGAAATCTGTTGTTGGAATCAAATTTGGATTTTGATTTTATTCCATGTTAATAACAGTGTTCAGAAATTGATTTTGTTTTGCCGATCCGAATTCTGAAAACAGTTTCCATCATCAACTAGTAGACCCTAGTAATAGAAGTCTATTCTTGGAATCAATTTCAATTTCGATTTTATTTCATGCTAACAATAACAAGAAGTGTCCGGATATCGATTTTGTTTCACCGATTGGAATTCTCAAAAAATGAGCTCGGAAACTCAAAATCCTTTGATATTAATAGTTTCTTTGGTTCCAGGTGGAACTAAGTGACAGCTTGAGGTGACAGGTGTAAATTAAGACTAGTATCATTGGTTCATTCCCGAAAACATATACTATCTGTGTACATTTTGGCACGCCTGGCTTGGTTTATGTTTAAAAAAACATAAATTTTGGTAGAGGTGGGCCCACTACTACCAACATTTATGTAATTGACATTTTTTTAATTGGAATCCTTGACTTAAACATTTCCAGTCTTCCCGCCACTGGAATCTTGTCAAATTAGCATGCAATTTATACAGGATTCCAAATTCCAAAAATGGGGGGAAAATATGTAACTTGAGCTGGCCGGCTGTGCCATCCGTACCACTGAAAGTGATTCCCGAAAACATATCACGAATTATGTTTTCGGGAATGAACCATTCTGGGCATAGAGCTGTGCAGATTTTGTACTGTTAAAAAGCTGTCACGCCTTATTTCGCACCCAAACTGATGGTACTTGTACTCGAACTGCTGGTGAACTTCCAGCATTACAGTACTGCTGAAGACTTACCGTGCTGGTGACCATCACAATAATATCATACGGTACAGTAGCAATCTATGATTCGGGACGGAATAAGTAAGAGGCTGCAAATGTCTGCAGAAGTCGGGACTGATCAATCGTCACTTACGTGTACGAAGTAGTCCGAAATCCGAAAATCGAAATACTCTTTCATTGATATGAAAGAGAAATATCATGATGTAAGTGATATCACATGATTAAATAGATAGTTTGATTTTAGAAGAATGAAGCTTGAAATATCATTGATTTATACTTAAGACTCGCCTAAAATACAATTGTGTCATTTCGGAAGTTGGTGTTTGTTCCGGAATTCTTGTGTAATGGATTTCGTTGGATTTACCTTTGAAAGAAAGCTTGACAAGTACGATTTTACAGTACAAAGTATCTCCAAAGATTATGCTAATGAGGCAGTCACAACGCGGATAGTGTGTTTCGCCACAAACGACAAGCACAATGGACTCGAACTCACACCCACACTTTAGTTGGCATCGCCMGAGCGGCATCTTGAAAACCTTATTTTTCGTGTTGGCGGTTGTTTTGGGACGAAGCATCGCTGGAGCGCAGGGCGACGGGAAGGATGCTAGGGCACTGCTCTGGTCGTCCACCGGTGGCGGCTGGAGAGCAATGTTTTCGGACGTGGCGTTCGCCAATCTGTTTCAGCAAGCCGGTCTGATGGACCAGACCTCTACGAAATTCAACGCAGTGGTAAGCAAGCAATCCGAGTTGTTTTTTCGCTTCGAAGATTTTCTCGAACCGTTGCTGTAGAAATTTCCCACCTGCGCAATCGTGATCCGACGGGAAGGTTGTTCCTGTTCCGGTGTTTTCTTTCAATTCATTGCATCTACTAAGCCGTGTGATTTTTGAACCTTCGCTGTTGCCGTGTGTCGATGAAATAAACAAAGTCCACTGTGTCCGGTGCATCCTGGTTTTCGACACAGCTATTTTATTCCCAGCAATTTTACGATCGAACCGTCCTTGCTCAAACTCCCGAGGAATTGGAATCGTTCGTCCTCCAGTGGATTCAAACGTATTATTCCAAGGTATCCACTGTCTTGGACAACGAGACCATTGCCGAGTGCGACATGTCCGATGTCACATCACCGGTGCTACGCCTGTACAGCGGAGAACACGACCCCCTTGAAATCATGTCAGAAATCTGCGAGTTGGCAAAGGAGTTCGATCTTGACTGGACCAAGTTCGTCCATGTCATGCTCGAGGCAGCATCTACGAACTACAGTGATCCCGGGTTTGTCGACACTATCGCGAATTCAGAAAATCGGATCGAACCAATGAAACAGACTAATCTGCTCATCCAGACAGCGCTGATGCCGAATTCGAGAATCCGGGAAAACAACAATACCGAGAGCACCGCTGTCTATGTGGGGTACGACACCGACGAGGATGGGATGTCGTCGCCCCAGTTGTTCACGGTTGCATTGTCCGCAGCGTGGGTGGTCGGGAACAATTCGGCAGACTTTTGGTATGGAACGGACGACAAGACAGACCAGCTGAAAACTTACACCGCCCCGACTCCCGTAGAGCATTCGTGGGACACATTTGAGTCTTTCTTCTTGTATCCTGGAAATGGCGGAAAAATCTCGATCAATGGTTCCGATATCTTGGCGAAAAGTGGAGGCGACCAAAACGATGCTTTCGTCGGGAAACCATTGCGCCCCCCCTTTGGGGGACCGGAGGCCACTACTGTCGCGCATGTCGCGTCAGCCAGCTCGGCTGCAGCGGGTGGTAGATCGCCTCTGGCTCCCTCAGTCTACAATCAAAGCTTTTCAATCTCGTTTTATTCGATAGAGGGAAGCAAAGTGCGTTTGATTTGGAGAGTACTTGTTGGAATTTCCGTGGGTTTAGTTACCACTGTACTTGTTGGGTGGCTGGTAGAGTATTGTGCCCGCTGTCGTAAAAAAAAGAGCGACGGCGACAGTAACAATGACACCAAAGAGCCATCCAACGTCGAAAGCAATGGGCAAGACGAAAATGGCCAATCTGTTGATGTCAATACCAGTTCTGTCCGTAAACCAGCAATCGCATCCGGAGTATGCTGCGGAATACTCGCTGGTTGTTTGGCAGGGTTGTATTTTGGATTTGGTAGTATCCTGCTCCCGACTGTCTATGATGCAGGCGTTGGTCTTGCGTACGAAAATCCTCATTTTGATAAGTTTGCAGTCTGTTCCCAGTGGCCCAACCCGTGCGGAACGCAGGATGCACAATTCAACGATGGATATTACATTGATAATCCTGCTGTTGTTGTTAACGTTGGATATTATCTGCAGGAAAATGGAGTAGATAGCAACCAAACGATCAAACTGATTGTCACAAATACTAATGATGAATGGGATAATGACTACAACCTTGGTCAGATTTTGCAGTGAGTAAACATCGTTTTGTGATGAGTGTGCAGCTCATTGTCGGCGCGTGCGTCGTTCTTATTTCCAGAAAAGGTTCTCCTCACGCTTTGTTTGGAATCTCTAGTTTCTTCAATACGACTTTCAACGAAGGAGTGGAACCCGGCGAATTTCTCTGGGGACCAGACCTACAAGCACCATACCGATCTCCGCAAATTTTTGAGGAATATCTCGATAAGGAGGAATTGAATAATTCGCTGGTACCGCTTCCTGATTCGAACATGACTACAGCTACATTTTCAGTGACAACCCTAGACAATCCTTCCTTCGGCGTATTGGCTGGACAACCAGTGGATATTTTGCTCTTGAACGTAAACGCCGGGATTACTACATTGATAGTTGGCAGGACTGCTATTGAAACAACCACACAGTCCTTGTTGGATATGACACTAGGTGTTGCTTTCAATGAAGAGCTCCTCAAAAGGGTCAAAGACTTCACAAATGGCGCTGATTGAAGATACCGAAAGCGGAAAAAGTGACTTTTTCAAGAGATCTAGCTCATGCCTGTGCCCGAAGCAGTTATCCAATATCGAATGTTCAATGCGGAAAGCTGCTAGTGAATTACTTTTTGTTCTGAATTACAGTAGATCAATAACTTATTTGAACTTCTTGTTTCCTCGAAAAAGCCTTGCTTTTCACTAGCAGTGATAATGATACCGATACTGTCACTACTCTTACTACTATCGCAGGACCGCACTGTGTACTTGTTGTTGGTTTCTTCTCGTATGAGTCAAAAAGCGAATTCGGAACATTGAAGTGTGAGAGAAGTCCAAAAATAATGTTAGTAATCGTTTGTTTGCATGATTCTCTCAAAAATACAAGTAATGATACGGTACAGTAATACGAAGTAATGCCATCGCACAATGTACGTACTTCACAGCAGGGGTCACAGAACGTTCGTACTGTAGAATCGTTTGTGCAGGTATTTTCCAAGACTATCGAAGCACGTCTCGAAAAAAATTATGTTCCTTCCGTCAATCCGCAACTGATTTTTTGTATCCACCAATCAGATGCCGAAAATCCTCTCCGAAAGTTCAGAATATTGTTCAAATCGTGCACAATAATATTGTATCTGTAGGGAAAATGTACAGTAAAACGAATCGAATCCTTTTCATTCCTATTCGTATTACTGTAGTGTATTATTATTTTTTCTCCCATTGAAATTCGCAAGAAATTGACCGGGGACATACAGCATCACAGAACAACTAGTGGTTTTCAGCCCCCGAATCTCGGCAGTGCAAAAGACACCACTGCACGGCTAAGGATGACACCGCTTCTACAGCAATCCGGAAATATCGTCGTTGTTGATGACGACGACACCAACAAGACCGACGAAGAGATTAATCAAACCTGGACGGGCTTCGCAAACAAGACCTGGCAGGTTCACAAATTTGGTGGAACAAGTGTTGCCAACGCCGATTGCTATCGAAGTGCCGCTCGTATCATCGAAGATCAATTGGGAATTCACGATAATGTCTGTCATATAATGGATGATGGAGAAACGAACGGAACCACAGCCCAAATGGGAGTTGTGAACGAAGAACAATGCTTGGCGGTTGTCGTATCGGCCATGGGAGGGAAGCCAAAAACGACAGATCTGTTGCTGGAATCAGTTCAGGCGGCTGCGCGACGCGAGCAAAACGAAGTCGATCGGTTGTTGGAATTCGTTTTGAAAAAACACGCCACGTGTCTAGAGGACCTGTTCGGTGTCGATGGCTGTAGTGGCAGCAGCAGCAACAGCGACTACAGAGAATTGCTTAAAATTGTGAGAGAGGATCTAGAAGACATTAAGGACATTCTCAAAACGGTGTCCCTCATGAAATGGCAAGCAGAACGCATCTCGGAATTGGTCAGTGGGTATGGCGAGTTGTGGAGTGCACGGATTCTGTCACGGGTCTTACACAATCGATCGGTCCACCGGCATCAGCGATCGCAAGAACGTGATCATTTCGACGAGTTTGTATTTATTGACGCAAGGCGAATTATCATCATTGACGAGGAGGCCATACAAGACGGTGCCGTCGAGTGGAATACGAGTAGGGAAAAACTAGTAGAAGTATACGAGAAGGAAGTATCTAAGTACAATACGACCAAAACGAAGACTCGATTGCATTTTGTAGTTACAGGTTATGTTGCGTCCAACACAGAAGGAGTTGCTACGACGCTCCAAAGAGATGGGTCGGACTACTCAGCCGCTATTATGGGACGACTCTTGCAATCAACCAACATTACTATTTGGACCGATGTTGATGGAGGTGCGTGCGCCAGCGCTTTGTGTATCTTGGCTCCATCACTATCCCATGCAATTGAACATGCTCACGATCATTTCTTTCTCATCAACTCTTCCTTGATTATCTTGCTCCCATCACTTTCAGTTCTGAGTGCCGACCCACGGCGTGTACCGGGAGCTTATGCGGTGCCGGAAGTCTCTTACAACGAAGCGATGGAGCTCGCCTACTTCGGAGCAAAGGTCATTCATCCGAAGACGATGCAGCCGGCAATCTCGAGCAACCCACAGATTCCCATTTTCATTCGAAATACATTTAACGCAAAATTCCGTGGAACGCGTATATTCACGTCCAGTGTCACGGACCACCAATCCGATTCCTGCGTTTGCGGCTTTTCGAGTATCGATCACATGGCCCTCATCAACGTAGAAGGTTCGGGACTGATTGGTGTTCAGGGTGTTGCCAAGAGACTTTTCGGCACACTCGAACACATGGGTATCAACGTTGTTTTGATTTCGCAAGCATCTTCGGAACACAGCATAACCTTTGCAACACCCGAAGAGGATGCAGCCAGAGCCAAAGAAACTATCGAGGAGGAATTTCAAAAAGAACTCGAAAAGAACAGAATTTCAAACATCGAGGTCAACACGCCATGTAGCATTGTTGCAGCGGTTGGCGACGGAATGAAGCAAGTCACTGGCGTAGCGGGGCGTTTCTTCTCGGCTCTGGGAGATGCCCAGATCAACATTTTTGCAATTGCACAGGGATGTTCTGAACGTAATATTTCTGTGGTCGTTGCCACCTCGCAAGCGACCCGTGCCCTTCGAGCGCTCCATGCTGCCTTTCGGTTGTCGCACACCACAGTTCGGGTAGGGATAGTTGGAATGAACAATCCACTGGGAGAATCCCTCTTGCGGTTGTTGGAGGTTCAACGCCGCAAGCTTTGGGGTTCCTTCGAAATCGATTTGCAGGTTTGTACTGTGGCCATGGACAGTCACGACACCGATATTCTTGAACTCAAAAATCACGACGGCAATGAGTCGATAAATCTCGGTACTGTTAGAGGTGCCATGAAACCAGTGAGTTCATCCTCCTCCGAATCTCGGATATCATTCGAGAGAGATACTCCCGGTGGTGATCTAACTGTTGTCCGCTCGTCGCACAAAGATTTGGAGCCGTTAGTAGAAAGTTTGGTCCGTGACGATTGCGCTCATCATGTAATCTTCGATTGTACCGACGACGTTGATGCAAGCAGATTCCATCCCCAGTGGCTATCACAAGATATTCACGTAGTCACAGCTAACAACACTGGTATTTCCGGAAGCAAGGAAATCAGGGACGAGATCCATGCCGCCGAGACAGCGCGTGGGAAGCTTTCTGCCCACTATCTCAAGGAGGTCACAGTTTGCGGGGGACTACCAGTCATTAGTACCATTCGCACACTTCTAAACTCGGGTGACAAAATTCGTCGCGTCGACGGAATCATGTCGGTAGCCATGTCATATATCATGTTTCGCATCTCTCCTCCTCCCGAGATTACTCGGAGCGGTCAATTCGACAAGGAATGCACTAAAGGGTCCTTCAAAGGGGACATCATAGGCGATGATGCCATGGGCAAGCCATGTTCCTTTTCTCAGGCCGTCAAGGAAGCCATCTCGATGGATTTGATGGAGAAAGATTTATCCCTAGATCTTGGAAACGACTACGTGTCTTGTGTCCTTATGGTCTTGGCAAAGGAACTTGGGGTGGACCGCAACGTGACCCACGATGTAATCCGAGACCGAAGCGAAACGTTGGTGGACTTTCCTAAGGGAGAGCCCATGGTTGACCACCATGCGTTCGAAGGCGCCATCGATGAAATGGTTCGCGTCCGTGTCGAGGAGGCAGCACAACGTGGATGTGTCCTGCGACACGTCGGAAGCGTTGACGTCGCCATGGAGTCCGTCGAAATCAAAATCATGGATGTTCCAAACACCCATATCTTTGCCATTACACCACCAACAGTAGAATGCGTGCGGTTCTTTACTCACCGGTACCAACCCTACCCTCTTGTCATCCAAGGGCCGTCGGCTGGCATGGATTGCACCTCGAGTGCCCTTCTAGCGGAATTATTGAGCATGATGCGCAGCAAGGTGGGACCAAGAACGGGAATCCTCACAAAGTCCAATTCGAGCGCATACTTGAAATAGTCTAGAAATTGGATTGCTTTTTTCAGATCACATCTTCATACTGAGCAACAAACAATAAATCTGTATATTTTTTTGGCATTCAGCTACAATTTGTGAGTCGTGTTTATGCGAATTTTCCATTCGGGATAACCATTTTGTCGATGTCAAGATGAATAATCTGTTCATTGCCGTCCCTCCAAAGTTAGAGCCTCAGTGTTTCAGTAGGTCCAGACATCACTTGGATCTTGGTATCAACACAAGTGATTACAGTTGTTGTCTGAATAAAAATCATGGTAGGGTGCAATTCTTTTCTTTGTGTCTTGGCCTTGACCTGAGAAGCCTTGTGACCTTCTCTAATATTGTATTCATCTGGAAACCCTCCATATATCCTCAATCTGCCATATGCCCAACTATGTAACCCGTAGAATGCTTCTTCTTCAAAAATGCGAGTATGTACCTATTTGGGCGGTTCAAATAATCCCTCTATCCCTCCTACTGCGGTTTGGGGAGCTGTCGCGGAAGCTGCGTTTCGTCGCAATGTTAGGTTGTGGGCGTGTCCAGTGGTAAGCGCATTTCGTTCGGCATTCGATCTTCCATCTCCGCTGTTTTCACGAGAGGCACCTTCAAATGAGTCGGAAGTGCAGCGAGCGCCCAAAGTTGATTGTTTGTAGACCACCTTCGAAGGCGCTGCCATGGTTTCGTCAAACAAAGGGCTGGTGCAAGGATTCGAATCTCCGCCGGCGCCCGTGGTTTCGAGAAAGCGAAACTCGTGGACGAGCATGCGATGACCGCTGTAGGTCGCGGTCGCTTCTCGGCACAACCGATGGATGGGTTCCAATTCGACATCTTGTGTCGAGAGGCAATCGAGCGGGAGACGGCACAGAGTAGTGTGGATGAAACCATCCCCACTACCGAGGCCGGGTGTCTTGAGTTCGATCGTGTGCCGCCGCTTCATCTTTCCTGGTTTCCCAGGAATTGGCGGTTGCGCTCCAGAGTCGTCTATCGCTTGTTCGATTCCACCTCCTTGTGTTCCATTCGGATTGGACTCTAGCTTTGTTCCCTCTTGTTGTCCCTGTTTGTTCATAGACTCCGCCCGATGCTGGTGCGTCAGAGGGTGGAAGTTGTACTCGTGCTCTTCGTTTGTAAAGCAGTCGACAATCTCACGCCGCAGTCGAATCATTGGATCAATACTTGTCGCGTGCCGATCGCAGACAGTGTATGCCCCATTCTCAACGACCATCCGCTCCCCAACGGTTCTCCACAGGGCCACCAGAGTCTTTCCGCCCAGCAATATGATTCGCTCAAGTTCCAAAAAGAAGGGATGGTGAAAGTCAATGACTAGGGCCTGCTTCAGGCGGTTCGAGAGGTCTTTGTTGAGCTCGTCGTTTCCCTCCCGGATTGTGTGCCACCACCATGGACAGGCTATCGACACGTGCATATCCTCTTTGGGGATGATGTTGATTTCGGGAATCCACACACCCTTGCTGTAAATATCCCAGGAATAATTAAGGGGCTGCAATATTTTTTGGCGCGCTTCCGAGAGGACCCGCTGGCTGGATTGGTCCAGCATGACTATGACGGTTCGAAGCGATTTCTTCCCCTCGTTATGGTAAAACATCAGACGATTTAGATCCTTTCGGCGTTTTTCCAAGAGGGTGGAATAATTTGGAATGCCCAAGACCAGGGATTGTTCGTGGGCCTCTCTCGCCTTTTCGTAATAACTTGTTGTTCGTCTCCGGTTGGCTTCCAGGATGGTTGACTGCGAGCCCAGCTCGAGCGATTTAAAGTGTTCGATCACGGAATATTCGTACAGGGATTGCCCCGCATTTTCGCTGTCGCTTCGTTTTGGTTCCTCCGCTTCGATCCATCGGCTCCGGAGATGTTTTTCGCGCCGGCGAAGAGCCCAGATTCCACCGCAGGTGAGCGCAATGGCCGCCATGGCAATCTCCGACGAGAGGTTCCCGTTGTTTGGTTTCCCGGTAGACTTGCCCATGGCTGCTTTCGTTGTTATAAGAAACAATGAAACTCAAACCAAATCTGCTTGCATGCTATGTTTTTGTGCGGTGGTATCCAGCACGTACGCTTTCTTCCAGCAAACAAACCCAGCTGTGTGATCCAACAAAGTGTAAACGAGATCAGCAACGAATTGAGGCACGCACTCCACAATGAAATTTTTAGAGCTGGCAGCTTAGACTCGATGACACTTGAGTTTCGACCCCCACGTTCTAATTCGACAATAGAAAATTGAAGAACACAACGGATTAGCTGAGATCCTTCTCGATCTTCGTAAACATTTTTTCTTTTTCACGGCTTCTAGTAGAACGTTATCTGTGCCATGACGGTTACGAGTTCAATAACGCATTTGTACCGTACCGTACGTACATGCGTAAAAGATGAAGTACAGTGTTGTACTGAAAACTCCGTTTTATCGCGCGGCGCGCGGGCGGGAAAGTGAGATGAGCATCAAACTCAATATCTTTTGGAAATCATCTTCTGTTACCAAAAACCGACGTCTAGGAGTAGTTCAAGTACGAGCACGAGTACGAGCCTCTGCAGATTGAACTGAAACTGAAAGCCTTTAGTTAAGTCACATCGTTACACAGGTTACAAATTTAGTTTCATCCTACACAGACTTTGTATCGGGAACAACTCAACTTTAATATTATCAAACCAGCTTCTTTTTCAAGAGTTTGCGGCCGTGACACTTCCATCACGCAGCGTAGAATTTCAGGTTCTACGCCCATGGGGCTGCAGATTTCGGATATTACAACATTAGTAGTAGTAGTTGCAATTATGTACGGAAGAATACAATTTCTACACTAACGTTCGATTTTGTGTGTCGAATGTGTTTTACAGCGTCCGCTCCGTAATTGAATTTTCTGGATGTCAATCGGAATGAGAATCTTGCCCGTGCTGATCGCACAACAGCATCCCTCTCACATCGTATGACATCACGGGAGATAAAGATATTTTGATTTCCAGCGTAGACCTAAGATCGCAAAGAAGTCGACTGCATTCACGTGACCAAAAAATGGTATCATCGGCCCTTTGTAATGCCGCAAATGGGCATCGACCAATCAAAAAATCTTTGATCAGCACCATGTCTCATCAATCGCTCGTAATACAGAACAAACACAATCCACATCGTGGCCAAACCTAAATCCATTTCGAAGAGCGACCTTCGTCAGTGCATGCTTCTCCTTCCTCATGTAGGTGACTTTCCACTCTGTTTCACAACACATGTCCTCTGCGATTGCTTAGTCGTATAGAATGCTAGATTTGCTCTGAGGGTAGCTTCATTATTGATTGCTTCTAGATTTAAAATTAAAAATACAGTAGACTGTGCTTATCAAAACTGCCGACAAGGGAAATCAAGCCCAGTGTTTAGGCTTCTTCCTTGTTCAAAGGAGCAATTTCAGGTGCCTCAGGTCCCATAATGGTGGACATGATCTTTCCGGTGACGAGGTAAGGATCGGCGTTGGAGGATGGTCGACGATCTTCGAAGTATCCTTTTCCCTCAGCCTGTGTATCACGTCCGATACGGACGGAAGCTCCACGGTTGGCAATTCCGAAGGAGAAATCTTCGATGGAGGCGGTTTCGAACTTTCCGGTCAAACGAAGTTCGTTTCCTTCTCCGTAGATGGCAATGTGCTCTTGGTGCTTTTCTCCGAGCTTGTAGATGGCTTGCTTGATGATCTCGAGTCCACCTTCTTCACGCATAGACTTGGTGGAAACGTTGGTGTGCATACCGGCTCCGTTCCAGTCTCCCTCGACAATAGGCTTGGGGTGGAGTGTGCAGTAGACCTGGAAGTCTTCGCAGACACGCATCAAGATGTATCGCGACATCATGAGCTGGTCACCGGCATCGATTCCGACGCAAGGTCCAACCTGGTATTCCTGTTGTCCAGGCATGACTTCACCGTTGACTCCGGAGATGTTGATTCCGGCGTACATGCAGGCCTTGTACAAAGCGTCGGTGATGGCACGTCCGAAGTTGTTCTCGGGTCCTACGGAGCAGTAGTAAGGACCTTGAGGACGGCTGGGCATGCCACCCTCGGGCCATCCGAGAGGAGTGCGCTCGTCCAAGTTGAAGAGAGTGAATTCTTGTTCCAAGCCGAACCAGACTTCTTGGTCTTCGTTTCCGCTGAAGAACTCCTCGGCTGGAATTCGACAAAAATTAGAGTTGAATTAATTCAAAAACAACACCGAAAAAACAAGGACGGATGGGACAAGTTTCCAACAGAGAAAAATGTGATGTGAGACAACCCATTCATTTTCACAGTCGTCGCTCGCCTCCAAACAGACAACAGCAGAAATGTGAAGTAAAATATGAAAACTTACCGAAAGCACGGGTGTTGGATTCGAGGGGCTCTCCGGCAGGAGTGTAGGTGTCGCACATGACCAAGATGTTGTCAACTCCGTCACTTCGGGGGCGGAAAGGATCCTTGAAGATACGCTGGGGCTTCAAGATGACTTCGGAATCGTCACCTGGAGCCTGGTCGGTCGACGAACCGTCGAAGTTCCACTTGGGGAGCTTGTCGACGGATTCGGCCTTGGCGGCAGGCAAAGTGCGGGTCTTGGAACGGGTGTTTCCAACGGCATCAACCCAGACGTATTCAGCCATGATGCTCTCAGGCGGGAAGGCGAGGGAGTCGTACTTGGCAATAACGGCAGGGTCCAAACTGGATTGACCAGTGACCTTTCCGAGGACAGCGTTCAAGGCAGAGCTCTTAGGCTGGTTGACCACAGGGGCAAAGGCCATGGCGGACGAGGCGCAGGCAAGGGTGAGGACGGCAGTAGAGAACTTCATTTTTGATAAACTTTTCTTTCGATTTGTGAATTTATGACACAATCGCTTGTCAATAGTTCTCTATCGAGAATCGCGCTCGTCAAATTAAAAAAAAGATATTCAGAGTGAGAGTGCGTGTCCAACTTCTCGCAACTTGTTTCTGGCCGTTGATTCCAAAGTTGAATCAATCATACTCATTCTTCCAGAAGATGTCACAACCCATGGTTGTCGTTCGTTCCGGAAGATATCGGCTGGTTGAAAAGGTCGCCTTGCTCGCAAAAACAAAGGAACCCCGTAGCATGGTTATGAAAATTATGAGTCAGTAATTGAATTGACTTTCAACAATAGTTGTCGCGAGCGATTGGGGGTGTAAAACAGTAGCGAGATGCAAGTACAATGGGTCATTCCCGTTAATCTAGAAAGTCTAAAAGTCTAAACGGTCTACYTTAGACTTTTTAGTTTAATGGGAATCATTAAAAACAGGCCCCCAACGGACTAAATTTTTGGCGCTCTTCTACTTTTAAGGAATCCGGAATCTTAACAGAAATGACTAAGACTGCGTTAACGAATTTTTATTGGATAATAATGAGTCATGCGACGAATTTTCATTCTTGGATTCTGGTCTAGATTTAGACTTTCTGAGAGGCGGGGGGGGGGGGCCTACAGAAAGTCTAAAAATTGAGACTAGATGGTCTATTTTTGGTCTGTCTGTCTATCAATATTTAGACTTTCTAGATTAACGGGAATGACCCAATATGAATGAGCGTTTGCTAAAAATATATGGTATGGCGTTTCTTGGTATGGCATTTATTTATTCGTCCATGAAGAAAATACTGATGAGATCGCTGACTTAATAAAGTAAATACAAAGGAAAAATTTAACCTTAACTTAACGACAAGTTAAATCACTGAAAACAATAATCGATGACGTGTCTACCAAACTATTGCACTAATTGAAGGAAAGCGGTGACAGGGATCAGCTGCACCAAAAATCTTCTCGAAGCAGATGGATGTTCGTTAGGTTTGTCTCAAAATACCGTACGTTACTACTGTATGATGATGTTGTTACTACTGGTACCCCTCTACAGGAATACTGTACGAGAGAGTATTGTTGATCCAAGCACCAAGGTCTTCTCAAAAGCAGCTTTTGAGACCTGCGTAAAGCAGATGGTCTCAACATGAATGACTCGACTGAGGCATCTGTTTGTTTTGGTACCGTACTTACTACCGTCCATGATTTTTTCCACCATCAAAGTTCTATTTTTTGACTCCCACGACTCTAACCAAAATAATGGTATGACAAACATTAACCTTAATGGCGAACACTGTCGATTTTTTTCCCGTCGAGAGGTTGATTTTCGGTTTTCACGTCTCATGTCTCATGATCATTTGCGAAGACTAGACTGTTGGACAACACGAGGAACGAAAAAAAAGCCTTCCCTGCAGTCGAAACTTCTCCCGCTGGAGCACGATCGTGATTCCCGCCGAGACCGCTCTTCGCGACACAGGAACCACCCCGGTGCACCAAGGCACTTGATAGTGCGGGACACCATGATCAAGGGAATCATTATTGTCAACAACCACGGGAAACCCCGGCTGGTAAAATTCTACCAGGCCGTCGAATCGGAACAGGTCCAGCAGAGCGTGATACGGCGGGTCTTCTCTCAGGTGACGTCCCGGCCCGACACCTTTTGCAACTACCTCGAGGGCGTCGTTCCGGAGTGGGGCGAGAACGTCAAGCTCATCTACCGAAATTATGCCACCCTGTATTTTATATTTGCCGTCGACGCACAGGAATCCGATCTGGGCATTCTCGATCTGATCCAGGTCTTTGTCGAGGCCCTCGACAAGTGTTTCGAGAACGTGTGCGAACTGGACCTGATCTTTCATTCCGATCGGATCCATTACGTGCTCGACGAGATTGTGATGGGTGGGATGGTGTTGGAAACAAATATATCGTCCGTTTTGCAGTCCATAAAAGAGTGAGTGGAGTTTGGTTGCCGGCGGTGATTCAAAAACGAACGATGACGATGGAAAAAGCGGCGACGGACGTGATCTTTGCTGCGTTTGTTGCGGGAACGAGACCCGGGTCGGCAGTTCTTTGCTAGCCAAGGAAGGAACATCATGCATCGTCCATCTTCTAACTTCACTCGTTTCCTTTTTTCGTTTGGATGATTCGTTTCGTCTCGTTTTCTCGTCTCGCTGGATCGGGTTTGGTGTGTTGTTGTGGGTTGGAAAAAATGGTGCAGCCAAGGGAGATTGGCCGTCGATTCATTGAGCAAGAAGGACGACAACGAAACCCAAAATCGGAAAATACGCGAGCAGCTGGGAGACAAAGCGTTCAATTACAACTGGTAATGCAGGGGCACGGCCTGAATAGGATTCCACAATGAGTATAGCATAGAAACGGGATTTTTTAAAACATACTGTTATTGTTCGAGACACCGCGTAGCGACACGGGCGCAAGCAAAAATAGTTGCTCTGTTGCGTGCAGCGCGCGAGGCGAATGCGTCTCTCGAAAGAACCGAAACCCGGTCATTGGAGATGCTATTGTTGTGTGTGCTAGTGTTGGTGCGTTCGATCTGCCAGGGCTTGCTTCCGACCCGGGGAGCAATTGTCGACGCACCTGTTTCCTGTTCTCAACCATTTCCATCACGCTGCACTGCCTCGTGGCAACCGAAACGATTCCGGCCGAGGATACCGTCGAGTGGCACGCATTCTTCCCGTCGCAGGAGACAGTTGCGATGCTCAATTGTACCGTAGGAAACCATCCACGGGCACAGAAAGCCTCGACCTCCCGCCATTCCCAAAACCAAAACAGGCCTTCGGGGCTTGCTTCCAGCTCCGCTCCGTGTTGCTCCGCTCTCCCTAGCGCTCCCGTTCCTCCCCGATGAGCGCCAGGATGTTGAGAAAGATGTTGACAATGTCCACGTAGAGCGCCATGGCGCCAAAGACGTAGTCCTTCTCGTTCATCCGGTACTTGGCGTGCTTCCCGCCCACGATGAGCTTCGTGTGGTAGGCCAGAAAGAGGCTGAACAGACAGGTCGAAAACACCGAGCACAGGACGTGCGAGAAGGGTAGGAAGCCGCGGGGCAGCCAGCCGGCCTCCTGCGCCAGGCCGATCATCAGGTAGACCAGCAGGATCGTCGCCCAGCTCGAGAGGGTCGCCCCCCACTGGCTGAGGTCGTACTTGGAGTTCTTCTGGGCGATCGTGTACACGGACACCGTCACGGTGGCCAGTGCCGTGGCGCCCATGGCCGTGACTACCGACCGGAGCTTGTAGAGGCTGGACAGGGCGCCGATCGAGACGGCCTCCCCGGCCGTAAAGATGGCCAGCCACCACCACTTGTTGGGGGACTTCTGCCGGGCCCTGGGGCTGGCGGCCACCCGGAACCAGGCGATCGTCGAGAGAAAGACCCCGGCCAGGGGGACCAGGACAAAGGGCGAGGCCCGTCCCGTGAGGGAATCGAGGACGTAGATGTTGGTGAGGGGCGGGTAGGTTCCGAACAGGAGGCAGACCAGCGCCGTGAAGCCGAGCTGGACCGACAGGATCCCGTACACGCGGGCGATGAAGGAGTTCCGCGAGTCGCGGGTGAGAAAGGCGTCGATCACTTCCTTGACGTCCTCCTCCTGCTCGTCCCCGTAGCTTTGCTCCTGCGGTTCGAGGCCCGGGTTCCGAACGGAACCCGGTGCCCGGTCCCTCGAGTTCCCAAAGGGGTTTCCCCTGGGCCTGGGAGCCGGCCGCACGGAAAAGGGCCTCCTCCCGCTGCTGCTCCCGCCCAGCGAGGATCCCCCCCGGAGGCGGCCCAGCAAAAGCCCGGTGGGGTTCGTCGCCGGGGCCGGAAGCACCCTTCCACCCAAGGGGGTGGCAACTGTGGCGGTGCCTTCCGGGCGCTTGGGCATCCACGGCCGCGCGGCCCCGGGGGTCCGGGCCGAGGCCCCGGAGGCCGAGATTAGCAGGACGGCCAGAAGAACCAGGGAGGAAGCCGCCCGCGGCGATGGGAGTGGCCACAGCGGCAGGGCCCCCGAGAACCACTGCCTCCGGAGCCGTCTTCGATCGCTTGCGAAGGACGGGGAGGTTGTCGTTGCCTTTGTCGTTGCTGTTGTTTGCGTCGCCCTTGCATCCATGGTGGATTTTGTTGTGGAGATCTGGCTCGTGCGGTGGTCGTTGGTTGCTCTTGTAGAATGGTTTGGCAATGGAACGGTTTGGGTTTGGATGCTGAGAATCTTGGAGAGATCCATCAAACAAACCAACAAACAAACAACTACAGTTCTGTTCGTACTTGCAATGAACTTGCAGAACTAATGTATGAAATAATTTTTGGAAACTTTTGATTCCCACGAGTGAGAAGATAGCAAGCGTAACTTTGTGTACGAGAACGTACCATAACATACCAATACGTACAAAATGCTACGGTATGGTACGAACCAGAGAATTTCGGTGTCTCTCCCTCGCACAGACATCGACACTCACTGCTGACTGCTTCGTCATCGTCGCAGGTTGGAGCGGAACGAAAATCCGGGAGAGAACGAACGAAAGAAAGGAGGGATTTTTTGTATTTTGTTGTACAGATCGTACGATACCATACTGTATCCAAAACTCAAGCAGCCTTTCTCGATTGATTCCTTCTGCATACCGTACCTGGTACCGTACGCCTCGATCCACAACCTACCGGTACATCACAAACACCCATCATCCCACACCAACCACGAAACCACAAAACTACAACCAATCCAATACACTGCACTGCACAACCACGGCATTGCCAATCCCACAATACGATAACGGAAAGGTGCCTCCGATACAAAATACTTTTGTCTGTCCGACGACGATGGTGACCAGGTTTGCCGTTCTCGTTGGAATCCTGGGCATCGCGGGAGGGTGCCAGGGCTTTGCGGGTCCGTTCGCCGCACACAGAAGCACTGCGTTCGGGATCGCGGGCGCAAGCGCCACCCTTGACCCCCACCGGTGCGGCTCCCCCCCGCGCATCCTCCCCCGCGCCGCAAGAGCCGGCGCCCGCAACACCGGGAGGCACGGGGATCGCCGCGGAAGAAGCACGCGGCGAAGCATGGCCAGCGGCGACGACGCGGCCTTTCTGAGCGACGACCCCTTTGTCGTCCTGGGTCTGGACGCGCCCACGGCCGACAAGAAGGTCATCAAGAGGGCCTACAAGAAGAGGGCCCTCAAGTACCACCCGGACGTGGTCACCGACGTTCACTCGACGCCCGAGGAAAAAAAGAAGGCCTCGGACCGCTTCGCCAAGATCAACGGGGCCTACGAGCAGCTGATGGGGGGAAGCAAGGGAGCGGGCGATTCCGGCAGCGGAAGCGGCACCGCGGGCGCTTCCGGCGGGTACACTCCCCCCCACCGCCGGAGCAACAGCGGCTATTCGTCGTCGTCGTCGTCTTCCGCCTACGGCGACGGAGGAGGTGCCAGCACCGACTGGAGGGACTACATGCCCAACTACCGAAAGGAAGACGACGCACAGTACGACACGGGCGGAGATTCCTTTGGCCAGATCTTTTCGGACATGCTCACGGGAGCCGCGGGCGCCGCCGTCTCGGGCGGCATCGGGGGCCTCGGGGGGGGCATTTTCAGCGAGTTTCTAGACTTTCTCGAGGGAGGCGCCGGAATGGGAACGGGAGGCCCCGGGGGCAGCGAAAACGACCCCCAGCTCGAGGCGCTGCTGCGGACCGGCACGCTGGAGGACGTCGCGGAGGAAATGGACGACACGGAGATGGTGGTGAGGCAGCTCGAGCGCAAGGCCCGGGACCTGGACAACGAGGTCTTTGCCACGGACGCCGAGGCCAAAATGGCGGCCCGGTTCAGCGAGCGCCTCGAAAAGGAGGAGCGCGCCTCCGAGCTCAAGGCGCGGCAGGAGGTCGTGGGCGGGTACCTGGCGCGGGCCCGGAAGCGGCTGCTGGCCCTGCAGACCCGCTACAAGGACCTGATCGCCTACGGGGGACAGAACGACGGCTACGCGGAGGCGGGGGGCCGGCGGCGGAGCGGGGCCTCGTCTCCCCGGGGCCGCCCCTCTGCGTCCGGTTCCTACGGCTCGGCGGCCGGCGGCGGGCCGAGCAGCGGCAGCGGTAACGGCGCAAGCAGCAGCTCCACAAGCAGCAGCAGCAGCAGCAGCAGCACAAGCAGCAAAAGCGACGACGAGAACGCGTGGATGAACGAGGGATTCGGATCGTCCTCCGGCCGCCGGGGGAGCGGACGCCGGGGAAGCGGCCGGCGGAGATCCTCGTCGACGCGGGGCCGGGCGTCGACAAGCACGGAGGCACCCGCTCCCTCGCCGTCGCCGTCGCCGTCGCCCTCCTATTCGGCTTCCCCCCGGCCGGCCCCCGGCCCGGAACGGGTGGGGCGGACCACCGCGGCGCCGTCCTCGTCGATCACGAGCAACGGCGGCGGCACCCGATCGAACTACAGCAGCGACGTGCCCCCACACCGGCGAACGAGGGGATCCTCGTTTGCCTCACGGCAGGAAGAGGACCGGCAGAGGATGCGGGAGGTCAAGGTCGACGAGGAGTTCGAAAAGCTGAAAAAGGAACTCGGGCTGTAGTGCTTCGCCGTGGGCAGAAGTCCCGGCTAACAACAATAGCGAAAAGGGTTGTTTGCTGCGGCGCGATTCGGTATTATAAAAAGAATGATTATTCGTCTACTCATTTTCGAGTATCAAATCAATCGTTGTGTTGCGTCTGTGCACTGGAGAAATTTTTGCTTTGCACCGCACATGAAACACCCGCCTACCGATTGTTTTGATTGTACGTGCTGCCCACTTGTAGCGCTGGCGTTCGCTTTCGTGTCAAACACCAAAGTTTCAAAAACGAGACAAGGCACACCAAACCGGAACGCATTGCATGTTCCAAAAAGGAGTTCCTACCGGCAGCATAGTTTGACGATGACTGCACCAGCGCCGCAATGGTCCCGTCGTCGGTGCGCAATTGCGGCCGCAACTCCCATTACAACGACGATGCTCTTGTCTTACTTCAACAGAAGAAACTTCAACGTCGACGAAGTCCGTCCTGATGTTGACCCGATACCTTAATAAGAACGAAGGAAAAACGGATCATGACACTTCGTTGACTACTACGCTGTCTCATGGCGATTCAATATTCATTCACCAAATATCTGGAGAACATTTGTTTTGATGATAAACCTAACTCGTTATGTTCGACTGGGGTACAGAGGCGGTGGAATCAAAAAGTGTTACATAATGTTACTATTTTCGACTAGAAGAAAACGCTTAAGCGGAGACCTTGGCATCGACGGCGGCAACGTGCTTCATCAAGTCAACAACACGTCCAGAGTAACCGTATTCGTTATCGTACCAGGCGACAAGCTTGACGAAGTTAGGGTTGAGCATGATACCGGCATCGGCGTCGAAGATGGAGGATCTGAGGTCACCTTCGAAGTCAGTAGAGACAAGAGGCTCATCAGAGTATCCAAGGAATCCCTTCTGGGATCCTTCGGAGCGGGCCTTGATGTGGGCGCAGATTTCTTCGTAGGTGGTGGCCTTTTCGAGTCTGCAGGTCAAATCAACAACGGAGACATCGATGGTAGGGACACGGAAGGCCATACCGGTGATCTTTCCGGTGAGGGAAGGAATGACCTTGGTGACGGCAACGGCGGCTCCAGTGGAGGAGGGGATGATGTTGCCAGAGGCGGCACGTCCTCCACGCCAGTCCTTTCGGGAGGAGGAGTCAACAACAGCCTGGGTGGCGGTCATGGCGTGGACGGTGGTCATGAGGGCTTCCTCGATGACGAACTCGTCGTGGATGGCCTTGACCATAGGGGCAAGTCCGTTGGTGGTGCACGAAGCACAGGAGATGAAGTCCTCAGATCCATCGTAGTCCTCTTGGTTGACACCCATGACAATGGTTTGGGAGTCGTCCTTGGCAGGAGCAGAGTAGATAACCTTCTTGGCACCTCCGTCAAGGATGGCCTGGGCCTTTTCCTTGGTGAGGAAGACTCCGGTGGACTCGCAGACATAGTCAGCTCCGAGGGCACCCCAGCCGACCTCCTTAGGGTCACGGCATCGGGAAGTCTGGACCTTCTTTCCGTCAAGGACAAGGAAGTCTCCATCAACTTCGACGGTCTGCTTGGCCTTTCCGTGGATGGTATCGTACTTGTACTGGTAAGCCATGTATTCAGGGGTGGCAGATCCGGCGTTGATGGCCTTGAGCTCGCAAGCTTCGTCTTCCATCATGATACGGGTGACAAGACGTCCGATACGTCCGAATCCGTTAACTCCCATACCGGTGGCAGACATGGTCATGGCGGAATCATTGTTGGCGGCCTTGAGGGAAAGTCCAGAGAAGCTGTAGGTTCGAAAAGTGTCGGCGTGAAGGCAATGATGAGGTACTAGTCGATATTTCAAAACAAACTGTGCGCAACCGTTGTCCATCGTGCGTATTCAACAATTACACTAAAACTTACGAGCTTCCGGAGAAGGCAGAGGCGGAGCCGATGGTGGCAAGGATAGCGCAGGCAGAGAATTTCATCTTGATGAATAAATTGATATCTTTGTCAAAGTAAAGTTATGAGAACAAAGACCGGCAACGGGAGTATTTTCAGATTTCACGGCCCTAATCGCTCGAGAGAAGGAGATCTTTTTCGACACCTCTGCCATGAGAACACTCCTACAGTACCTGCGCATACGCACGGTAGATTTCCTACTTTGCTGTCGCCCAGCAGTCTCGCGTGTTGGGACGCATACGTTTTGCATTTCTATGATAGTTGGTAGATACTGTCACTGACGTTTGTGTTCTGCGCCTTCATGCACAGCACAAGTAGAATTGCGCGCCAGCGCAGGAGCCAGAATATCAACGGTTTCTTTCGTCATCCTATTCTACATAGGAATGTAAAGTACGGTACCACATGATGAAGCATCCGACTGGTACGAATCGTATCACCATACGGTACATCCCAAGATGATTTTAGAACTACTACTACTACTACTACTACTACTACTACTACTACTACTACTACTACTATGCAGCATGTTTTTGTGCTGTTTCCTAGAGAGCGGGTGTTCAATCACTGACACAGTTTCTGTTCCTATGAAAAAATTCTTTTTTTAGTAAATCAAACCAACATGAGGAGGCGTCAGGCTATCCACATCCACAAGCAAACAATTATCCCATAGAGAATATTGAACAGCCAACAACCATCAATCCTGAAGATTTGTGGCAAGAAGAAGCAACCACAGAAGCAACCATCAAATAAAGCATCCTGTCTCCTCCATCTTGATAGTGCCGCTCTACAAAGAACACCTCTACTAATCCCCACCACCCTGGTTGATAGTGGCATTGTTGGCATTGCCCTTCTAACATCTCTTCTTCTCCCCACCACTCTGGTTGGCAGTTGTAGCTTCTTCCTTGGCATCACAGAACTTGGGTACTACCTGACACAAACCAGCAGAAACATAAATGATCTTGTCGTTAACAACCCCATCTGGGAGCCACCAGTGTACCACAATATGCACCTTAGGGTAGTAGTGTTGTTCAAAGGTGTGTGTCGACCAAGTGTTTGGTAGTACAGTCATGTAGTGAGGAGAGAGCATGCCTAAAAAAGATCACCATGGTGGTGATAATGTTTATTGGAAGGGTGTCATAACCTGTGGGAGTGACTGGTGTCCTAATAGTGATGTAAAATGTATGCTAGAAGAAAAGTGATTCGATGCTCTTATCGAGGATCAACGAACTATGAAATCTAGAATTGATCAGTGTGAGGGTTGAATGATGTGTGAATCGAATGAGTCAAGTCACTCACGCAAGTGAGGAATGAAATGAGTCATCTTGATCGCATGGATCAATGTGATTGTGTGAGTCATATATGTATGGTGTGCATGAATCATAGATACGTTCCATATGTATGTGTCATATATATGATTCATACCCATGTTCTGATATCCTACAGACAGCAGCATTTGCCCTTCTGATTAAAAAAAAGGCCCTGGATTACTTCTAGTAGAGCCTTGTCCACCACCTGAAGAACATCAAATTGCCTGCACCACAACCCAGGATTCCCTTGCCCCCCTTCTCCCTCTAAACCATAATGATTGGTGCAATCTCTTGCTGGTTGGCAATCTTGAGCTTGGTCAGATGAGTATTCAATTCTTCTTGATTACCTGGGAAGAAGAACTCAAGTCCTTCTTAAAGGAAGGCAAGGTCCTCATAGGGCTCACTGACAACCCAATTCAGATTATTCATGACTACTATGACTTTGACATCAACATTTAACCAGTTGACAGTAAACCTAATCCGCACCAGGGATATGAAAGTAATTTGCATCAATCAGCCAAACTTTGGCTTTATATCGTACAGACAACATGACCAGCACAGCAAGGCCATTTTCGGCATGCTTGATCCTTATCCGGTCAAGGGGGGCAATATCTATTTCAAAATTGAAAAAAGTGTATGGAGTGAAACGCCACATCTCAGGGACTCCGTTTGCTACTACCTATGGCATTGGTCCTGTCAATCCTATTTGTCCCATCCTGTCCAGTCCTCACAGGGGATCCTTCTTGCTTCATAACACATAGCAACACCTCATGTCACGAAGAGAAATGGAATTCCCCATCGATCAGCTACTTTTTCAATTCGGAGAATAAATGAGGAATCGCTTGATGAGGAAATGTGTTTCTAAAGTAAAATTACAGGAATTCCTTGTTTCTAATTTGGTGCGCGCGCAAATGATGTTTCATTCCCTTCACAGCAGAGAGGAAGAATCAACGCCTCTCACTTGTTCATGTGCTGGTCCCATCGCTGAGCCGATGGACTGAGCGACGCATGCAAAAATAGACCCGGAAGGCTGGGCAACTCGTGCCCCTCCCGAAGACGCCGACGATTGCGGGCCCGCCGAGCTTGTGGACGGAGTCGTTCCCATAAGCCACTCCGTCCAGGACATATTTTGTTCTGCGGCTGCGGCCGCACGACGCTCTCGTTGTCGCTGCACCCGCGCTTCCTCCTTTTGATACTCCTCGCGCTGTAATTGTTCGGCAAGCTTCGCATCTTCTTCGATCTGGGCGCCCCGGAAATCCAGGCTCCCGGCGCCGTCGACGGCGGGCGAGGCCGCCTCCGGGGTGTCAGGGGCGGAAGCAGCGTTGTCTAGCTCGGCGATGACCTGCGCAACGGCAGCAGCACTTCGTTGTTCGAAAGCTCGGGCGGCAGAACTCATGGTGGTGTGGTATTATTTTATTCGGGGGTATTGTTCTTTCTGAGATTGGTTTCGGTGCAACGCAAGTCGCAATTCTTGTTTGTGACTTCGGGTGGGCGTTCGGAAGAGGCTTCTTTCTTCTTCTGCTGCAGAATTTATCGCACGTGAAGCGTTGGTGAAAGGTCACTGTCACCCGTGCCGCCTTCCTTTCATCTTCGTTGTGACGCCTTGAACTTTCCCGGGATCAAACGATCACGTATGCCCCCGCCAAAAAGACTTGTTCGCAAACACGACTTGCGATTCTGAAAATTTGCATCGGTACCAGTCTACTACGATTACGTAGGAGGTACGTAATAGTTAGAACAGAACTGTACCGTAGTGCTGGTGGACGGTGGACCCTTCGGAATATTCGCGCGCCAACCCCCTTTTCAATTCTGCATTTCGGGGGTGCAAAAATGAAGTTATTTTTCTCAGATAAAGGGTCATTCCCATTCTTATTGAGACGATTGAAGGTAGCTCATTAGTACTACTACAAGATATGGCTGGTTGTGTTTATCCCAATATATTACATCATACTTGAACAAACTGCAGAAGTGTTTGATTGAATTAAGCACTAGTATCACCATGGGATTCCTCCATTTGATGTTGAAATGTGCTGTTCTTCTTCTTCCTCTTGTTGTTGTTGTGGTTCTTGTTGCTGTTCTTCTTTCTTGTCACAAAAACTATCTGGTGCAAGGTTTGGTCACACCACCACCAATGCACACATATGTTTTGTGCAATCACTTAACACAGGGAATTTATGATTCTCAAGCTTACTGAGGACCCCTTTTTGGTGTGATTATTTTTGTGCCAGAGTCTCCTCCCGGTGTGCACCAAGATATTTATTCTACAACCGATGTGACGGAACTCCTCTTTAAATATTAAAAATGACTGTAACTTTCAGCAATCATGACTCATGGCATCAAAATAGGAGATTCACACATGCAAATAACAATATTTTCAAATAACCACTAGTATGGAATTGCTACTGCTGGGCAACAATTATTTGGGAACACTACAGTCCCAACAATTGCAGGGAACAGCAGCAGGAGGTCTAGTACGTTGCTACCTCACATTTTCAAAAACTTCATAATGAATTGAGTTGCTGCGCAAATGTACAAACCAGTCGTACATTTTGGGCACTTATTTTGAATCTAATGACTACTTTGATTAAAAAACTGAATCATACTATTGGTACAGCGGGGCACGTGCTGAATTTTTGAATCTCACATTTGTGCAATTAAATAGTTTTGCTCACATGCTCAACTGACAATTTTGGCTTCAAACACATACAAATTCCTTAGTCAAAATAGTCATTACATGGTAAACAATACAGCCCAAAATTGATGGAATGTAGAAAAACACATAGAACATTAAGAGAGTTTCAACTCACTCAAACAGCTACAACTTTTTCCCCAATTGACGCTTAAGTATGGTAAGCACATGATTAAAAAGAGAATTGAAAGAGCTTTCTAACAATGTGGGGGAGTAGAGGGTCAGAGAAGTATTGATTGATATATGTGTATGAATAATGACACGTCCTGCCAATGCTATCGTATAGGCTTGGCCAGCCAATGTACGGTTTAAACCTTGGATTAGCGGCCATCTTTTTCCCGTGTAAAATATGTCGAGCGCGCCGACTGACATCACGAAATCTTGTCGGAACACACCATTTTTTCTATAGAAATTTTGTCATGATGTCTGTKGGAGTGCTTGAAATAAATTCTCGATGAACATATTTACCTACAATAACATCCGATGCTGCACCAATACTGATACTCTATGATGCTGATAGCAGGAAGGCAACTTGTTGTCAATTGTTGGACACAGAGGAGTCCTCAC